GTGAAACGGAAGCGACGGACAAATTTTGTCGGCGGTCCGTTTGAAGATTAGCCAGCTTCGGCCAAAACTTGTCGAGTTGCGACAAACCATCTGCACTTGTAAAATGTTGGTGATGACAGAAAATTTGTCTAAGTAAACAACTTTTTTTCCAGTGCGGATAGGCCCTACCTCTGGTTTTAAATGTTCTCAACAAATGGAAGCTTAAGGAAACAGACATTTAATGAGAGTCAATACCTTCAAATGTCCCCATATCACTTTCAGGAACATGTTTTTTCAACGCCCACCACTTGCTTCTAAGCCACTGAGGGGAACGGACGCTTGAAGAGAACAAAATTGAAGGAGAGAGGGTATCAGTACCTCATTACACGACATAATTAAATAATTTATAAAATTAAATGTAGAAAGTTGAGAAAACCGACCTGGACCAATTGCTTGCCATCACCTGCCAATCTAAATCATTCTCATCCTGAAGATTCATTTCGTGGATTCTAAAACAACAAATATACATAATGACTTAACCCTTTAACTCCCAAAAGTGATTAACATGTAACTTCTCCCTTTAAATTCATATATTATATGGCAAAAAGGTAATGAGAATACTCAAACTTATCAGGCAGCAGTTGCTATCATGATCTAACACCAAATTCTCATAACTAATTTGCAAGGAAATGTAAAGCAGATAGATAGGAGATTTTACAATCAGATCTTTGGAGTAAAAGAGTTAAATGTGGAAGCTCTGTATCTGCTATGTTTTGATTCATGAGCAGGATAAGGAAATAAATAGCCTGTGTGGCTGGCATACAAAACATGTAAGGATCAGGAGTTTATGTAAGCTCGAAGCACAATTGCTGGGATTTGTCCTTCCCCAATCCCAAAAATCAAAATTTTTCCTGGCATCAAATCCCCCTCAACACTCCCCTTGCAAGTCCATTACACAGGCTATGGATTGAAATGACTAAAAAAAGTATAAAAGCTCAATTTTGTAAAGTGTTAAGGCCTTAGATTACTCATTGAAAAACCTATGTGATATTTAATATTTACTAAGCATGTAAATGCAACTAGCTGATATCCATTTATCAGGGTGTGAGCTCAGAAATTGGGCACAGGAGTTGGGTGAAACTTTCAATTTTTCATTATAGTTTTATCAGGGTAGCAAAGATTTTTGAAAGCATTCCAAAACACTGACAGTCAGAAGAATTGTCTTTAATTTTTATCTTACCTGGTAATGAGTTGAATCTCATCCTGTTTTGTCCATTCTTGTCCTCCTTTTTCTTTCCAGTTTAAATAATTTAACCTGATCAAGGCAGCAAACACAAAGTCATATTTACAAATCAAATTAAAAATTCAACTCAATTTGAAGAAAATGAGACAATTCTTTACTGACTGCTTTGCTAGTCTAGAACAACAATCTACCTCAGCCCTGAAGGGAGATGAAGTGGCCTAATGGAACTGCTTCTTTCAGGGTCAGGAAACAGGAGATGCACACCACCCACTCCCCCTTATTTGTGAACAACTGGAGGTTTCTAATATAACTTCACGGTTCTACAAAATCTGCTGTATTGTTTGCTATGTATTTTCAGCAGTTCGCATTATGATGTGATTCTTTAGTGGTGCATGCCTGCTAAGGAAATCCTGGATCCCCCCTCTGGGAAATAAACCTATCTCAGATGTTTGGATGGATATTATAGCCCTATCTGTGGCTAATTTGCTAGAAATGGCCATGGAGGTCTCAAAAACTAGCAATAAAATTATCACCATTTGGAGCGGCATTGCTTTTCTGATCTTGTGCCCACTCTCTCAGCAACAGCTGCCCAAGATATCCCAGCTGTAATGAAATCCCCAGAGGCTGCACTGCTAAGTTCATGTACTGCATTGGAAAGTCTCTGCTCCTCCTCTACAGTCCACTTGCCTTAAATGTTAATTTTTGTTAAAAAAAAAAATTAAAGTGACTATGAATTCTCTCTACATAAATTAAGAACATCCTTAACAGATAGAAAATTCACAATTTGAATATTGGTAAAGGGAGGTGGAGGAGGGGGCCTTGAGACTTTTTTTCTGTAAAAGTCTTGTGAACTTTGAGAAATTCTGGACACCCTTCCAAGATCTGTCTTAAGTTCATTCAACAAAATGTAACACTATTGATAGCTTTGAGAAAAATTTCCAATTGATGAATGTTTTCATGAAAAAAGCAAACAAAAACAAAAAACTTTGAATTAGCAAAGCTTTACAAGCTCTGTGGTTTTCAGGAGGCCTCTAAGCATTTCTATTTTCTTCTTTTTCCCTAGCCTTGATCCTTTAATATATATCAGAATAATAAACATGAAAAAATTAGGCACATCTGATTGGCTGAAGACGAGTGCATTTTTCATGTAACGCTACATGCAAATTACAAATAGCGCAGGTGCTGCCAAAATTTAATCCATCCTGACTTTCTATGACACATTTTTCATGTAAATTATTAACAAGTAACAACATGATTTTTGTGCAATTTGGTGTAAACAAGCACTACAGGCTTGTGAAATTTTTTTGTCTTTGAAAAATTTACTCAAAAAGACATGCTTATTAACACCAAATTGCCATCAAAATCGCATTGTTACCTAGTACATAAATACTGATCATGAATTTTTACCAGAATGACAGTGTTCTCTCATAAGCCTGAATCTGTCCTTGACAGATGACGCACTCCGGCCCATGGCAGCCCCAATTGTAGCCCAGTCGTTACCATGTTTCTCTTTCAAAGATTTTAGTTGCTCCACCTCCTCTGAAGAGTATTTTCCTATATAATTTCGCCTGTCGTACATGCGAAGAACACGACGGTATATGGCAAATAAAGGACGTCTTATTCCCTTTGCTAAAAAAAAAATTTTAGAGCTGAGCTATGAAAATTCATCTCTAGCATCAGGAATATTTTTTCATTAAAACATAGATTTATTTAGAACTTAATTGACTTCTTGCTTTCAATGAAAAGGATGATTAGTTTTTGTAAGCAATGAACTTGACCATGTTAAAATAACTGACAATTATTTTTACCAATTGTTCTGTAGAAATCCTTTCGATCATCTTTAGTCATTTCAAATATGATTATATTTGGATCTGGGATGTTGTTCACCTGATAAATGAAAAGAAATTGAAAAGTTAAATATTCTGCACGAGACTCAAAAAGAAGCAAGAGGGAATTCAGAAAGCCATCTCTATGCCAGCATTCCTTGTGAGCCTTGGAAATCATTGCAAGCCTCTCTTTTCTTGAAAGGGATAGAAAAGTTGAGGTATACAACTTTTTATGTATTGCTATAAGTCAGTGCTCAAGCTACGTGGACCATCTAGCCAGAGCTCATCCTAGATTCCTTAGCATGAAGCAACTAGGAGGATCACTTATTTCCGCTGGATGGGTTAGGGATGCATGTCCATTGCAAGGTTGTCCCCCACCACTTCATCATGCTTTCCTGACAGTTCATTGGTACCCATTTATACTCCTGAGTGGAGAGGGGCGCTGTGAATGTTAAGCATTTTGTCTAAGAACACAACACTTTGACCCAGCCAGGTCTTGAACATGGACCTCTCAACCCAGAGTCAAGGGCACTAACCAATTGAGAACAACCCTATCTTCCACCTATTTCTAGCTCCCTCACCTTGCAGTACTCAAGAATGTTCTCTTTAAGCTGTTCATTCTCCTCTTTAGACCACATTCCTTGCCTCCACTTCACACCTAAATACATGTAAATGAGCAGCAAGTCAAATGTAATTTGTAGTTCGTACTTTTTTCAGAGACATATTTTACGGACTTTTCCAGGACACAGATTGATTTTACCACAACTCAAAATTTCACCATAAACACCTCATTCCCAACATTTCAAGATCAATTCTCCCTATTGCCTACAAAAATTTTTTATAACATAAATTCTGAAAACTTTATTGCTTGAGTTAAGCAGATCTCCAGGACTTTCTAGTGCTCAAAAATTTCAAAATGAAATTCCAGAACTTTCCACTGGACTTAACTGGACAAAGCGTACTTGCAATACAGTTGACCACGCATGTTAGTAGTAGCACCTTGTATGGTCGTATGATCACATGGTCATACGGTCGTACAGTAGTACACCCAAATTTTTTTGTCTTGATGGTTTACTACTATTTTGTATAATTATGGGGCTACACGAGCTCCACTATGAGCTAAATTTTTTAGCTCATATTTCCCAATCTTTGTGAGTAAAATTTGCTCGGCTCCATGGTAGGAAATTCAAGGTTGTGTAATAGACTGTGCCTACCTCCACAGACCTTGGTTTGGGCTACTTCTTAAATGCAATGAATTACTTGGACCACCTCATCTAGAGTAGTTTCAAAAAAGGCTTGTGCCAAGTGGTGTTTAAGAGAAATTTTCGAATTATAAGACACCTGGACCTAAAGTGAAGCTTGATAACAGAGTCCACCAAAAACTTCAAATATGAAGGTGTGTGTGTGTGTGACAAAATATTTCTGACCTTTGCCATGAAGATTATCTTTGTCCTCCTTAGTGGTAAACCAAGCTTGGTTGACTGAATTATTGTTGTCACTGACAACAACTGGCTGGGAGGCTGGAACGATTGATGACTCCTGAGTAAGCTGACCTGCGGCAAGTGCTGCAACAGCTGCGGACAATGTTAATGTTGCATTTGCTGCTTCTTGAGCTGAGAGAGGAGCAAGCTGACCAGTGTTGTCAATGGTGGCATTGGTGAATGTCTGAGAGGCTACCTCCTGGTAGAAAAACAAAAAAATGATGATAGGCATGAGTCATCACCACAACAAAGGTAAAATGAGACACTTGATTAATGTGCTTGTAATCTGCTGAAGAAATAATGATCTCTTTTCTTACACATAAAGAGGACTATTCCAGCACAGTATTAACCCTTTCACTCCCAAGATCTCATTAGTAATTCTCCTTACTGTCTGCCATACAATTCTTATCATATTAGTTTGAATAATTTGGTATTGGATCAACTAATAATAGTCACCTTATTGATATTTTTCTTTATTCTTGTCACTTATCTGCTTAACATTGTACTGTTGTCTTAAGGAGAAATTCTCTCTTGGTCACTTATAGGAATTTACAGGAAGAGACCTAAACAATATATCTGCCTATCCTTGATCACAAATGACTGTAATTGTGATATTTTTAGATTTATTCTAACAATTATTTGTTAATATTAAAAAGAGCTTGAAAATAAATAAATAATGGTTAAATGTTTACCTGAGAAACAGCGAGTGAAACAGAAGAGGACATACTGACGAGAGTTGCCAAGTCAGCAAACCCATCTGAACTCTCAGGGTCAAGATGGAGATGTTTATTTACTTGTTCATCTGTTTGATCAGTGTGCTTCCTCTTTACTCCCGCTGTAAATCATGATGAATTATTAATACTAATTAATAATCATTTATCTTTTCATCAACGGTATTTCCATTAAAAGATTCTTCTATGACCCCTTTCCAGCTCTTTATTTCCTTCATGTCATAAAGTTCCACCTGCTCTTTAACCCTTTAACCCCCAGAAGTGATTAACATGTAACTTCTCCCTATTATATCCAAACAGAATTTAGCAAACAGGTAACGAGAATACTCAAACTTATCAGGTAGAAGTTGTTATCTTGATCTAACACCAAATTCTTGTAACTGATTTAATAGGAAATGTGTAGCAGTAAGAGGGAGAATTAACAATCAAATCTTGGGAGTTAAAGGGTTAACCATTTATAACCCAATATCAGTATACAAATTCTCCATACTTTTCTCTATACATTTCTTATAGTGCCGACAAGGAGAGTTTTGTTTAACCCTTTAACTCCCAGATCAAATTTGTAATTCTCCTTACTATCAGTCATACAATTCTTACTATCAGTCATACAATGCTGTTTCAGAGAATTTAGTATTGGATCAACTAATTATCCCCAAATTGATATATTTTTTTATTCTCACCACTCGTCTGGTTGATATTGCAATGATATTGTTAAGTGAAATTCTGTCTTGGTCACTCATGGGAGTTAAAGGGTTTAACAATCTAGAGCTTCTTTAGCAAGTGATAATTCCTTTTGTTCTTCTGACCTGTCATATGTGATTCAGGGATTAAATAGTAAGGAGAAATTAGATGCTTATCACTCCAAGGGATCATCACTCATATCAGAGAAGAAGACAAATATACTACCTGACTATAACACTTCTGGGTCAAATTTATTAAGCTACTCCTTTCCAGAAAAGTTAATTAAACTGTTATTAAAGTAAGTAATTTTTGCTTTGTGAGGAGGATAGCAGAATATTCTCAACTGGTTGCAATAATGGTTTAACTATACCTGAAGAGGGATTACCTTTTAACCCTTTAATCCCTAAGAGTGACTAACATCTAATTTCTCCTTACAATATCACCCCTAAATCAAACATTAAGGTCATGAGAATAAAGGAGTTGATCACCAACTAAAGAAGCTCTCAATTGTTGAACAAATTCTCCTTGTCAGAATCCTAGGAAATGTCTAAAGAGTAGTATGGAGAATATGCATACTGATGTTAAGGTGTAAAGGTTCACCAAACCTCCTCTCTCTGATATTCAATCTAATATCTTAATATGTTAGCAGGATTATTATTGATGATGGCCTGCTTCAAATATTTGCAGAGGTTATCATGATAATAATTCTGCTTACTTAAAGTGCTTTTTGATTGAGTGTCATAAAATCAAGTTCAAAGCAATCACAGCAGCCAATCATGAAAAAGAAAACATCTTGAGGAGCCAATTAAATTAAATTAAAACAAGCAAACTTCCTGAAGTAAGGGATGACCCAAGTACCCACTAGTCACAATTGGTTTAGTTTTGAATCTGATCGGTTGAGAAAAGCAAGTTTCTGAACAAATCACAGAGCGAAGTAAAGCAAAACAAAGCAATCCCACATTACTTTTGACCCTTATTTGAAAATTGCTCTTCTACAGAAAGTTGTGAAAACAAAAAATTCAGGAAACCCTGAAAATTTAGAAAATCAACAAACAAACCGAAGCCGAAGATATAATTCATTTGTCAGAGTGATTGGTTGTAACATAATAAACAATCTCGAAATAGTCAAGGTGTTTTAAATGGTATTCAATTTTTGCGCAATTATCACGGGAAAAATCCCGCACTCCTTGATGTACCCGCGGGAAAGCGGACGATGGCCTTCTTTCGACTTTAAATCGACTTTTCAGGACTATGAAATATAACCATACCACTTTCAAAAATATCATTATGTACTAAATAATACTTAAGAACAATCATTCAAATCACTTACATAGCTCAGCAAGAGTTGTAACAGGACCATCTGGCGAAAACGTAGGAGTGAAGGCTAGATCTCCGCCATTTTCCTCAAGCGCCTTTGCGTCTACTGTACAAGCCGCTTCGTGTTGCAGAGAAACTCCACTTAACTCGTCTTGGGTGTTAGTTCCATCCACTTCCATTATTTTCTGTTTTACTTCCGGTGAGCCAAAACAAAAATAATTTCGAATTTCGAGCTCCGATGAAATCCACGTCCGGGAACTTCAGACACGCCAAAAGTTGAAAATCCCGAATGTTCAAAGACCCGTACGTTTGCCAGTTCGGCCGAGTTAGGTTTTATCACGAAGTTACCTACATTAGATCGACAATTCCACCGCCAAAATTGAATAAACCTGAAAAAAACTTAAACTGTGCGTGGATGAATTGTCAATAAGACAACAACGATGACAAAAAAGACAAAATTCGCTCCATAAACTCAACGATTCGACCACAAAATTTGGTCGTATGAAATGTCTTTCGCATTTCAAGGGGCAGGTTGCCCCCGAAAACAAGGCGCCTTCAAATATGTTGACCAGCGGTTTTGCAAATTAACGGTAGCCACTGTTTTGGATCCAAAAGGCCCCTCTACTAATTATCCACTAATTTTTACCCGTTTGATTCACAATTATTGAAAAATATATTTTGAATTTCTCTTTACTTCCACGTTTATTGAAGGAAATCCAGGATGTTTAAACGCTGGCGTGATAAGAAAAAAGACAACGAACAGGTAGTAGTTTTTGATCAAGCATTCGATAGTGAGCTCGTTGGAGAGGTCACGGCACGTACCTCAATATCAGCTTATTTGAAATTGCTTTCTTTTTTCACATTTCACAGCAAGAGAGTCCAGCGAATACAAAACAGGCTCAGTCTCCGAACGAAACCTCCGTAAGTGTGCGGTTTTCAGTTGTTTGATCCCACTTCTCTCTGATGTGATGGCATTTGAAAATGAAATTGATCGATAGCGTGCACATGTACGTACGAGGAATTACCTCATTCGCGCGCGTCAACTGCGGTCGATCGAGGTCACACAATGAACTAGCACGTATGCATTTTCAATATGCATGTTCAGTTTACAAGAGTATACATGTCAAAATAATTTTTGATTTTTAATACGCCAAGTGTTAAGCTTGAGTTTGTAGTCCTTCTGAGACCGTCACGTCTTCAAACAATTAAGTGACATATATAGTGTCATATGTACTGTTGTACATATTATGTCTGCTAGACTTACTTGGATGCAGTTGGAAATCTAAGAGTACCTAGGGAATCAATATCCAAGCATTACGTTGAACGCAATGCAGTTTATCGTATGTAAATTAAGCATTAAACTTGTTACAAATCATGGAGCTGTGTTACCACAATATTTTACGCCATGTAAGTTTGGTTTGTGACAGTTTTAATGCACGAAAATGTATGCATTTTAAGAACTATTTGTGGTAAAATGAGTTTAAAGATGATGATCATCAGCAATAAAAAATACTTTTACAGTTTGCTCCCATTAATGCATCTGCTCTTTCAGATGATAAAGAACATCGATTTTCTAGCAGACCATCAAATTGTATTAACTGTAGGGTCACAATCTCCTTTTTCCTGGAATGTGCTCTAGCTCTTATGGCTGGCAGCTTTTTCCTCCTGCTACCTGCCCTTTAATGTTCCAATACTCCTTCTCCCAGAATCTTTCAATCATTCTAACTTCATGACTGCTTTTACCAGGAAGTGAACCCCTCTGTCCACCATGTCATTATGAGGTGGTAACATATTATCATTAGAATTTAAAAGTATCACAAGATAAAGTTGGATTTAAATTGTTTGGGGGTTTTCAGGCTTTGTATGGGTTCTGGAAAACTTAAAAAGTCCTAGAACTTTATTTTGACATTTTCTTGGACTGGAAAGTCTTGGAAAAAGACTATAGGTCCTTGAAAGTCCTGGAAATCTGCTCAACTCAAGTGACAAAGTTTTCAGAACTTATGTTTTAGAAATGTATGTGGACCTATAGGGAATCAATTTTACAATCTTTGAAATGAAAGAGTTTAATGTGAAAATTTAAGTCCTGGAAGAATCAATCTGAGTCCTGGAAAAGTCCTGGAAAAGTCCTGGAACATTCCTTGAAATTTGTTTCAGATAAAGGGTACAAATCCAGGGTTGTGAAGAGCAGAGAATAGTCTGGTTTGCTTCCTAACATGCACTGATAACATGAAAAATTTAGTTTATTTCTTAGATTTACCCCTGTTGGTTTTGGTTTTGGTTAATTATAATTGTTATTTTGTTATCTTTGACAGGGGTTCATTTGTCCAGTATGTATGATCTCCTTCAACTCCCCAGAGGATCTTCAAGTACATTTTGAAACATCTCATGATGACAGTGAACCAGCACCAACTAGTGGGGTAAAAAATTATTCTCCAAGTAAAAAATGAAAAAAGCAATTAAGCAAATAGCAGCTGAATATCACAAAGGAAAAAGGTTTTTTGTCATTACCAGATCCTGATTTAATTGTTTACTTGATAATTTTTGACGCAGCTCAATCTTTTGACATGCGTGGTACTTAAATCCATGCTACAAACTCAAAACACAACAGGCATGTCGTGCATTTTGACTTAAATTCTGTTGACAATGTGATACTAGAACCAATTAAGATGAAATAAGAATTAATTGGGAATTAATTTTATTTGATTATAGTTCATTGCTTCTCTCCCAAACCTTGTCTGTACATAAATAACCTGTTTTTTTAAATTTCTTCCATTGTCACATAGTCTAGCACTAGGTAGTAAGGAGGATAAATAAAATCTTAAGCTGCTCTGATTGACTTTTAACTTTCTAATGAAAATAGCTTTTTTGCTTTTTTCATTGACTAGTTTTTTTTCCTTTGTTTTAATTTTTTTCTGAACATAACCAGGATTTCATCTGTCCTCTATGTATGAAAAAATTCAATGGTCCAGGAGAATTGCAGAGTCATTTTGATCAGGTTCATGAGACCCAAAATGATTCATCAGCAGTAAGTAATATACTTGTGGGTGAACAGTGAATCTCATAACACCAAGATATAATAAGAAATTCTATCAACTAGCTGTTACATATCCCCTGTAAAGTTACTAGGAGGAATTCTTGTTATATCAGCATAAAATCCTCTCTAAAGGGTTGCCTTTTCTTGTCACCTGTCTACTGGATGATACATTAATATTAATCCTTTCACTTCTAAGAGTGACCAAATCTTGATTTCTCCTTACAACATCTGTGTAATTTTTAGAAAAAAGGTAACGAGAAAGGAAAAAAATATCATTTAGGGGATAATGTTTGATTTACCTGAAACAGTTAACCTTTTTCACCCTTATATCAGTATGCATTTTCCATACTGTTCCCTAGACATTTCTTAAGTTGCTGATAAGGAAAATTTATTTAACAATCAAGAGATTCTTTAGTTTGTGATCATTTCCTTTATTCTCATGACCTTAATGTGTGATTCAGGGATGACATGGTAAGGAGAAATTAGATACTAGTCACTCTTGTGGTTCAAAGGGTTATAGGGGAGATTATCTCTAAGTACATATTATTAACTACAGTTGTTTGGCACAACTGGTACTGATTAGGCTAGCCAAAGGTTCTTCAACCAGATCTGCTGCTGTAAGATATAATCAGGGTTGTAGCTAAGAAATTACACATCCAGTTGAAATTTCAAGAGAGGCAGCTCAAAGGTGACATATGATTGTGCCCATTGCGCTTTACTGAGTAATTGTTAAGCAAAAATCCAGCTGGCGATTGCCTCTTTTTCATCCGCCAAATTTTGCTTGCAGCTAGAGCTTGGCAACAAGCCTGCACAATAAGTATATTGCCCCTTATGTAAAAATATAGCCGAGAAACCAATTCATAGATTTCACCCACTTTTCAGTCTATGGGCTTGATAAAAGTGTTCATTATCTATAACTGCATCCCAAGTCATATGTGATCAGTAATATCTATTGGAGGGTGTAGCAGGTTATTGTTTTGAGCAACCCTTCACTTAATTCAAGATCCATCATTTGGAATTGAAAACTTATATTTTTAATGTGTAATTATCATTATTATTACTATTATTATTATTATTATTATTATTAATAGTAGGTAATTGTTGTAGTAGTTGTATTACTGGTTTTATTGTGTAATTCATGTTTAAAGGAAATATAGAAGAAGTGCATCTGAAGGGATATGTTGTCTTCCTAAAAAAACTAAAGCAAATCTTCTTTATTATTTTCACTGATATGTATTCCAACCTTCTAGATAAAACCATCAGATGCACACTTGTCAAAAAGTTTACCTGCAGACACCACAAAAGTTTGGAACGAAAGACATGGGTCTTTGCTGTCATTTGATGAAGAGTTACCAGTTCCCAGAAAAGAGTCAGAAGTGTCTCGCTTGTCAAATCAACTTAAAGAACTGGAGGATAAAACTCAAGAAATTATGTATCTACAGCAGGAGCTTAATGAGTTGAATGCTTCATTAAAAGAAGAAAAGTGGTACTCTGCCGCTTTGAAAGAAGAGGTTGACAAGATGACAAAAGAGAAGGTGGAATTGGAGGAAAAAGTCAGCTCACTAGAGATGGTTAGTGGTAACAAGTCAGCCTGTGGTTTTAGGCCAAAAACACACCCTGTATTTTATACACAGTTAGTGCATACATACACTTCTTTAATTAAAGATCTTGTTTTCATTTTTGTTCTAGGAGAAACAAACGTTGGAGAAGGATTCAGAAAGGAAGCTTATGGATGAAAAAGAAAACAGTGTTAAATGTAAGTACCAGTTTCTTGGTGGAAATTTTACAGTGGTTATATCTTTAAATTTTACAGCCTATTTCAGTAGCTTGCCAATAACACCAAATGATGGTGTCTTAAAATTGTTTCTGTCTAATGCACAGTTTAGGTTTTTTAATAACTTGTGACACTTGGGAACAGTTACCACTGATAACTGAAATGTTTGATAACTAAAAAGAGTTGCAAATGCATAAAGGGGTAACTTTCTAAAGAAACTGTGGTGCTGCATTGATGGGTGAGTATAACAGGGTAATTTGGTATTATCAACTAAGTTAATAAGTAAACGTAAATTGGCCACCGTAGAGTTTCAAAGCTGGCATTTCGAGTGTTACCTCTTCATCAGAGTGAATGATGGAAAGGCTAATGCTTAAAATGTCAGCTTTGAAATTCAACTCAACTCAGTCAATGATGCTAAATTACCCTAAAAAGAATTGCAGTTCATTTCTGATTTTGTTTTGCAGCCATGGCAGAGTTTGCACAGCTTAAAGTGGAGTTAGCCAAGGCACTAGAAGCACAGACTGGAAGTCAGAGTGAACAGATGAACTTAGCACAGAGAACTTCACAACTGGTATGATACGTATAAAAACTTAGCTTATGACAAGTCAAGTTTGATAGTTTATCTTAATTTACAGATGGCTTGGTATTCTTCATCTCAAAATGGAAGGTGTGAA